CAAGAGGTCTGTGAGGGGGCATGCAATGGTCGCAAAGTCCTTAACAAAGCGTCTGAAATATGAGCACAACCCCACAAAACTGCGGACATCCTTTGTGGTCCTCAGAACAGGAAAGTTCGTGACTGCGCGAATTTTCTCTGGGTCTGGACGCACGCCTTGGGCATCGACAAGGTGACCGAGCACGGAAATTTGACGTTGAGCGAAGTGTCACTTGGAGGCGTTAAGCTGGAGTCCGGCTCGACAAAAAACGCCCAGAATAGCTGACAAACGATCGAGATGCGAGTCGAATGAGGGCAAAAAGACAATAACATCATCAAGGTAACACAAGCAGGTGGACCAATTCAACCCTAGGAGCAATGAGTCCATCATTCTTTCAAATGTGGCTGCCGCATTGCAGAGACCAAAGGGCATCACCTTGAACTGATAAAGGCCATCAGGAGTGATGAATGCCGGTCTTCTCGCGGTCCATCTCGTCGACGGCTATCTGCTAGTAGCCTGACCGAAAGTCAATAGTTGAAAAATAAGTAGCGGCGTACAGGCAGTCGAGGGTGTCGTCGATGCGAAGTAAAGGATAAACGTCTTTTTTTTGTAATTTTGTTGAGGTGACGGTAAGCGACACAAAAGCACCATGTTCCATCCTTCTATTAACAAGGACGACTGGAGAAGCCCAGGGGCTGCATGAAGGCTCGATAATGCTTTTCGCAAGCATTTTGCCGACTTCATGTTGTAATATTGCACGTTCCGATGCAGAGACACTGTAGGGGCGACGGTGAATGGGAGTTGCATGGCCAGTATTTATGCGATGGGTGACGATGGTCATTTGGCTTAAAGAGTTGCTGGCAAAGTCGAAAATGCTACGATAGCCCCCAAAAACGTGGCAAAGCGCTGCAGCTTGCTTAGACGTGAGGTCCAATGACACCATTCGCTCGATGTCGGCGCCCCAAGAACGTGATGGAGTGGAACCACTGACTGAGCAGCAGCAATCGTCAACTCTGAAGGGCTGGACATGGTCATCTTGGAAGAGCGGTAATTTTGGCCAGGGAGATACCCTGTGGCAGAACTCGAGTTGTGAGTGAGAAGTTGACCAGTGGAAGGAAGGTGTCGTTTCTCGTAATCGTCAGAATCATATGCAGCACAGCAACCCCATGCGTAAGCATCACGGCAGGAATCGGGGCCGCCATGTAATCACCATCAGGTACTGGCGGCGTGGAGTATAAATCGACATGTGTGACAGAGTTAGGTGGGAAGGCGCGTGAAATCAATGCAGCAGAGGACTTCTTCGCGGTGGGCTGGCCGGGTCGGAAAAGAGAGGTAAATCGAGATGGAGAGAGCCAGCTGAACAATCTATGAGGGCATAGTGCGCGGCTAGAAAATCCATACCGAAAATGAGTTCATGACGGCGATGTTCGATAATGGCGAAAAGAACGGCAGTGCTTCTCTCCCCAATAGACACTCGCGCAGAGCACATGCCAAGAATTGCGGCACTTCCTCCATCGGCGACTCGTACAGCTTGGTTGAGGGCGGGCGTGACAATTTCTTTAAGTCGTCAGCGAAAGTTAGCACTCATAATGAACACATGCCCGCCAGTATCTATCAATGCACTGACACGAACATTGTCGACAGTAATGTCCAAAAGGTTCCGGTTCGTCGTTAACCTTAATCGAGGATTTCTTACGAAGGTCGTCAACGCAGCTCCACCTCCAGAAGCTGCATGGCCTAGTTTTCCGGTCGGAGGTGCTGTGAACAGGTCGGTGAGGCAGCACGGCATTGTGGGGGCGACCGAGACTGACAACGAGCAGGGGACGATGACCAGTCGTAGCGAGGTCTGCTCAGAGGTGCTGCAGGAGCGGAAAATGTGGTCGGCGTTGATAGAGAAAGTGATGGGGACGACTGGCGGACAGAAGTGGCGTGATACTGAGGTGCATAATGGGACGGTGGAGCCCAGCGGCTGCGGGAGTGACGTGCGGTATGACCAATGCGTCGACCGTTAAAACATATGGGCCTGTCATCAAGGATACGCCATTCGGACGAATTGCATTGTATGCCAGGAGCAGAAGGGGGATGATAAGAAGGCTCAGCAGAGTATACGGCAGGAACAGGATGTAGGTTGACATTCGATAGCTCCTGACGAACGAGAGCTTGTATCAAAGAGATTGTGGTCGGGGAAGGCACAGACGTCGGTAATGCCGTGGCTACCGATTGTGCTGCCTCGACCTCTCGACTAATGATGCGTGTGAGGTTGTCACATAGAGGGGCCTGGTGGAAGGCGTCGTCACACGAAGAAATGGCCGCTGTGTTCGGAAGGTGCACGATGCTTTCGGCTACGCAGCGGGCTTTAGCTTGTTCGAGGCGGAATTTTTTAAGGATGGTGTTGATGCTCGGGACCTTGTTAAAAACCAGGAAAGCATCGTCGGCAATGCCTTTCAAGACGTGATTAACCTTTTCGTTTTCAGACATGCACTGGTCGGCCTTGGAACAAAGGGCCAAGACGTCAAGAATGTAGGAGACGTAGGATTCTGTAGAAGACTGGGACCGTGTGGCAAGAGTCTTCTTCGTAGCGAGCTGATGACCAGATAAGTCGCCAAACAGGTCGCATATCTTTTCTTTGAAGAGATCCTAGCTCGTTATGTCGGCTTCGAGGCTTTCAAACCATGTTCGGGGAGTGCCGTCCAGGTAGAAAAGCACGTTGGCAAGCATGAGCGTGGGATTCCAGCGGCAAGTAGCAGTGACGCGCTCGTACCGGTTCAGCCAAGTGTCAAGATCGATCGTACTATCACCAGAGAAAGTGCCGGGATCCCGGAGGTGCGGAAGTGTGATGTAGGTGGTGGACTTGAACTGATGAGGGCGGTGTAGAGGAAGCACCAGCAGTCGAAGGAGTCGAAAGGTTGCCGACGGTGCGACAACTGCGCGTTTCCATCGAGGTACTGGGGGTCGTCCTACCTCCACCAATAATGTTACGAGTAAGTTCTTTAATAATCTATTTAGGACTGCACAGAACTTGACGAGCAAGATGGCACCAGTCCAGCATCAAACGAAAACTCACTTCGTCCTTCTCTTTCATGCAGCCGTGTTTAGCGGCTGTTATGTATCAATATTTATCTCTAGTGGTCAACGGCGTACGCGTTGCACAATCATAGGACACTTTTGACCTTCGAAATTGCTTGCTGCAAGTGCCAGTGCTACATGGGTGATGCGGTGGCATTGTTTAAATCCCTGGAAGTCATTTGGTTTCAGCGGCAACTTGAACACCACAGAAAAAGTTCGATTGCAAGCGCAGCTGGCCATGGAACCCTATCGTCCTTCAGAACACAGACCGTGCAGCAGCTTGCCAAGCCAAAGCCTCTTTTATTTCAATGCCAGTGCAAACGCGCGCTTCTCAACGGGAGCCATCGGTCCGCCTTAATTCATGGAGTGGTCGTGATGTGGCACTATATGAAGGGTAGCGCTGCTCGCGTCACACGTGCGTCCAAGCGCTTTTCCCCAAGGATGTGACAGACGTGTTTCCCACACCACTATCATACGTCTGTCAGATTCGCTCCTTCATGCTGCTTCTTTTCGGCTCAAGAAAATGCCACTGCCGCGTCACAGAGCAGTGCATGCAGAAACGTTGCTGTGACGCTTCCCCATTTGTTGCCTGCATTTCACCACCAACGCCGACACGCTATCTCAAGACACCGTATATTTCACAGAGCCAGCGTGACTGCCAATATTGTGAACACGAGGAATGCAAGACGCCACCCCACGGATCTGTACACAACTGAACGAAAAACTACTTCATATGATTTCAGTCATGAGGAACTCCATGAGGGACTACTCTCCCCATGACCACAAAGCACACCCGAAGGCTAGGCGATAGGAGAGAGCGAGAAAGGGCTAGAGGAGAGGGTGTTGACCAGCTGGATCGGACTCACCTGGCCGGCGTTGATAAAATAGCGGAGGGGTTGGCCAAGCAAGCGGTTCATGAATTCCTGGCTAGCGACTGCGCCAGTGTTGCCCAACTCTCAGGTCGCTTGCTCGTTTGTAAAAATGTTCGTTTATAAATTTAAATTAATGGCCCGACCAAATTCGCTCTAATTTCACCAGCTTGTCTGCGAACATACACGAATCAACCCATACAACACCGATTGCGGTTAAAAATTCGATGGCATGACCCCTTTAATAAAGCTCTCCCTTGCAAGCAGGCAATTATCTATGAATTCTCCTATCTTATCAAACAGACTAAGTAACAGTGTGCCTGTACTGCAGCTTTAATAGTAGATAAGGAGGGGCAAATAGGCAGGGCTGCAGCAAATGACAGGAAATTCCTGGCAATTTCATTATGACATCCTGCCTCACTGCTTGTACAGCAGACTCTTGTTAAATTAAACATGGACTGGGTAAATATGTTCCATTTAACAAGAGCTCAGTTTACCAAGAGATAACGAAGGATTCCAGATTCATCCTTCAAACCACTCATGTTAGAGGCAGTTAGTGCAATCATGTTAGTAAGATGCATTAAGGCTGCATATTAAAAGCATGCTATATGGTTACACAAGCACCAACAGCACCGTAGGATCAGACACATCGTAGATGCAATAGCAGTATATCACACGTATTGCCATGCTTGTGACTGGCTGACATTATTTATGCCTTCGTGCACTTCCAATACTTATCGCTTCTCTAAGCAACACATTTAGCTATTAGAACACAGAGGAAATGTGAAGGACGAGCTACTTTACTCATCATAATGAAATTGATCTTCATTTTTTTGGAATATTCAACGATCCAAATATACAAAGCTTTACAAATACACAGTTTTTAAATAGAATACCATACTAATATTTGCAAATAAAACATGCAACGAATATGCAAAACTTTCGAAATTTCACACAACCCTAGAACTCAGACTATATCATGTGACCTTTGAAACTTTCAAATATTTGCACAATGGTAGAATTCAGACCACCAAAAGTGACTGCCCCTTGTTTTACTGCAGAGTAATAGTTTGCCAGCCTGCTCACCTGTCATACTGGGCGCCATTGCTGGCCTCGGGAAAGTTCCAGGGGTCACTTGAAGCAGGCAGGCTTGCCTCCTGGGACAAGCTGGGCAGCGATGCGTTTCTTGGAAAGTTCCAGGAGTCGTCCTGCGCTGCGTCACCAGCGCCCCCTTCGTGGGACATTCCCCAGAAAGTCGTCAGCGAGTGAGGCATGCCACGTCCTCCAGGCCATGGTGCATCCTTTTCGAAAAAAAAAAAAATAATAATAATCCAAAAGCACTGATGCTCCACTTATTACTATTTATACCACTTAAAGGGTCCCTGAAGTGGTTTTCCACATTCCATTTTTGATTAGACCACTCCTGGAGCAAACCATTGGCACCATAACTCAATTGAAACACCCCTTATTAATGGAGCTACCGAGTATAAATAGTTACCCTCCTCCTTTGCTCCGCCTTTCACCCACAACTACCTGAACTCTTCCTTCGGGCGCTCAGGGCTAAGCTCTACTTTCGCGAGGCCTGCGCCGCACGTTCCACAGCCAATCAAATCAGCAGCCGCAGTGACGTCACGTGGGCATAGCATGTTCCTCTGTCGCAGCGATTAGCAGCTTTAAAGCATTGCAATAAATTATAATACACAGTTTACGCAGAGAGCTCAAATTGGTTTGTAAATGACCATTGGGACTTCGTCTACCGGCCCAATGTGTTTTTGTACAAAAACGTCAAAACTGTTTCAGGGTCCCTTTAATCAGAAAACCTTCATATGCCACCAACAACAAAATTTCATTTTAATTGAATATGCTATAATGCTGAAAAGACTACAGGGCTACTAATGGTGTATAGAAATTTTCTGGCAGCAGCTCGACGACAGCAACTCGGCAGACAACTCCTGCACTTGGTGGTTATCGCTTTGATGTAGGCCCAGGCACACTGCCTCCAAGATGTTCAGAGCCCGCTTATCTCAGAGATCACGCCAGGAAAGCCAGGCAATATTCCATGTTGTGCACTCTTCATGAGCTGCTAGTGACCAGTGACATTAACACTTTTCAGTTTCGGTATCAAGAAAAGTCGTTCTTTACCAGTTTTCTCCTCGTACCAACACCCATATTTCAAACGTTAATTTTGCACAGAGGCTCTTCTACAGCTACGTCACTTAAAACTGGGCTTTTAATGTAGTCTAAAATCTTCGCATCAATAGGCCTCTGAAGGAACATCACAGAAAAGCACCAAGACTAACAAATCGTCCTTTTAAAACCATGAAGCACAACTCTACTTGACCTGAAAGCAGTAATGCGCGATGTCGATATACATAGGGAAAGTGTTCCTGGCACTCGCTTGTGTGCTATAAATGCCAGGAAACAGCTGAAATCCAGGAATTACTGCAATAGAAAAACGAATGTTTAATGAAAGAAGCTATATTTCTGTGAAGCTTCCACAACAAGATGCTCTGCATCTCTGATGGCAAATACATAGCGACCAATGCGAGAAGCTGCAACAATGGCCTCTTAGAGTACATCAAGCTATACATTCTGTAGACAAATGCAGATAACAATCATGGAAACCATGCAAAAACTAGCGCTTGGACCGAATACTGCTAAGTCCGTCAGCACTTAATTAAAATTTCTGTGCCTGTGTACATCATGGTACTAAAAGGCATGCATGTGAACACAGACACAAGCAGAGAATAAGACAGAATTAGTGCAATTTCATCCTCACTTGTGTCTGTATTCCTGCTACTGCTCAGCAACACGAATTCCTGCCCACTTTTTAAAATTTCAGACTTTTCAAGCTGCTGTCACTTCCACAAACTGTCACAATTACGCCAAGGAATGAGATGCATTGATGTAGTCCATGCCTTTTTATAATGTAGGGCTCACGTACACAGTGTACAACCAACTTTACAGCAAAGGCTTTGTTATTATACAAAGCTGATGTTGAACTGCATTAGTAAGTCACATTCAGAATAGGAATATCTTAAAGCCATAATATAAAATACAAGTGTGAATACTTACAGACTGATTATGGTGAGAACCATTTTAACATTTACTCCGTTATATCTAATGCCTGCATTGGTTATAACGAATCAATAAAAAGATTATGAGCATGCTAAATTTCATCTCGAATGTGTGCTTATGTTCACTATACCTTACTGATAATCTATGTTTTACAAGCTTACCGTGTGCAAGGTTTAACATGTTCTCACGACTTGGACAACAGTTATGGAGAAGTAGCAGTGTGATTTTTCAAAGAACTTTTGTGATATAGGAAAACAAAAGCTTTGTGCTACTTAGGGTTTTCATGGTAGCCATGCATTCAAAGCCAAGAGATGACAATGTGCTCTCGAGCACTACCATGAAATCCTGAGCAAGTGTCCCCCCTATGGGGTAAAATATTCCTGCCAGATTTAGATGGGGCAGTAGGAGTGGCGGCTTGCTTAGTCGTCGATCAAAAAATTCTAGGTGGCGGCGGAACAGCCACTATTAAGAATAAAGAATGTGAACCCACGCTTCTCGTGGAATAGCTTATTGAATACGCAATTATAAAATGTTTTTATTGGCCCTCGACGAGCGAATAAAAACAGTGAAAATGGCGGGAAGAAAGGGGGTGGAGCAGGGTGCTTGGTCAGTCATTGGTGCACAGTTCGATCCATCTAATTTCTCCCCCTAATAAGAGAGGGGCGTGCCTGCTCAACATTTTACGGTACAATAAACTGGTCACAAGCCATACCTGTAATGGGGGCACATCCTCGTCAAGTAGCGACACGGCACCTCCGTTGCTAACACCTGGACCGCCACCCGATGCCGCGCTGCTGGCTCCCGATGAGCCACTGTTTACCGAACAGGTAGGTGACGCTGGCGGAGAATCGAAGCTAATCAGCAGCGCCCCATTGTCCTTGCCCACGGCACCAGAAAGAGGTACACGATGCGGTGGCACGGGTGGTGCCGGCGCTGCACCTTTGCGAAAAGAGCTCCTGGCGGCACCCGCAACGGGCTGCTTTGGCGCGGGCCCCTTTTTCGCTAGTGCACTTTTCTGCTGCCCCTTCCCGGTTGAACCAAAAAGGTTCAGCTGTCCTCGTACGAATGCAGTACGGCGGGAGAATAGGCTAGAAGATGTCCCATTGGGCACTGTAGCCCAAGAAGCGTCTTTCTTGGTCGATGAGCCAAAAAATGCGTCGATGTCCGCCACTGCAGCGTTGCTCTGTAAGAGATGAATACCCACCATGTTAATTTATCAATTTGAAGAGAACCTTTAATTCTTAAAATAAGAAACTGACACTGAGAGGAATTAAGACCTTCCGGTTCCTTCAAATTCATACACTGCTACCATGAAAGCGACCACGCAAGTGCCTTGTACACAGAAAGAAGAAACCGAGAAAAAAAGATTGGCTGCCCTGGCAGACTTGTCAGTGTGTGCAAAACTAAATTACGCTAGGAAGAAGATACGAGATCAATGCCACGTGTTATTCAGTTGCAAACTGCATGCATGCCCTGACCATCACAAATACCTAGTTGTTCCTACTCTTCTGTGAGCAATGGAACACGTATTCAACAGGATGAACTGTATTGCAAGAAAAACTAATACTCGTGCTGAAACTGAAGTGTGGTTGAGGGAAAAAAAAACACATGCAAAGATAAGCTGGTACATTGAGCCTAGTAGAAATACTTTTGCAACAGCACAGTGCTAATAATGTCCTTAATAGCTTATATAAAGTGGGCAAAATCATGCTTTTTCAGTGGAAACGACGTGCATACTGTGTACACTTACGGCGACGTGAGATTCATTTTGTGCCGAGTTTTTTTGTGAATGCGATCCACCAACCTTTGGCGGTGCTAGAAAAGGAAGAAGAACACAACATCAGAAGTTGGACACAAAATATCCGTATGAATCACTCAAAAAACTGAACACAGAGGCTTAGTAACAGGATTTACTCTAAGGGCAATATAACAATGTTTGAACCAATATCTCATTCTGGATTCGTGAACTTGAACCACAACAAACAAAGGGCAGTGAATCCTTCACTGTGCATTATGCACTACATGTTTTGTAAACAAATTATGGTGTGCGGACCAAGTATGTCTCAGCTCAAACATACAAACACTAATATGACACAAAGTTTTATACTACACTAAGCCTCTATATGTGGTGCCTGTTTTGAGTAATATGTTGCTTTAGAGATGCTTTCAGTTATTAGTCAATATTTGTGCAGATCTCCACAAAAAAAAAGAGATCTTGCTCTTATTACTCAAAGACAGACAACAGTGTCAGTTTTACACTGCCAGTTTTAGTTACGGAATGTCCTTTTTTTTTCACTGCAGAGTTTCTTGTTCGAGCTACAGTTGTGGGTTGCGACATAAAACAAAAAACTGCCCTCAAAACAATTATGCAATCCTTCCATGTTTTTGGTGTGACATAAAACCTGGCCTAACATCAAACTGAGGCTCGACACAGAACCCACAATGCAGTAACATTCGACAAGCGTTGGAAATCTTGTCTGCATTTTACATGCAGACAAGATTTGGGTATGTCACAATTATTTCATGTATGCAGCACCATACCCATAAAACAATGATCGCAATTCTTTATTAAAGGGACGCTAAAGAAAAACAATGACTGTTTAGATTGACCAACTGCACCTTTAGAACTCTAATTCCATAAGTAAGTTTCTGTATCATAAGTTTGTTATAAGCGGACAAAATCCAAGGCCGAAGTTTCGTTTTAAAATTTCGTGCCAAAATCCCCGCGAGCGCCATCAAAAATTTCAAAATGTATTTTCCATATTTTTGTAACATTGGCATGATAAAATTTTCTCAAACTTCGCATGCTAGGTGGCGTCCACAGATGACATGGGGCCCAGTAGATGGCTCCAAAATCTATGACGTCACAGCGTTGGGTGCATTAGTTTCAAGGTGGTGTCTCCACCTTCATTTTCCTTTCCCTCATTTTCTCACTTGAAAAGTATCCTCTCACAGTAAGAGTGGTGTTTGAAATTGCCAAATTTGTACTTTAGTATCATGCGAAAAATTGTTTCTCTCTTTAGTGTCACTTCAAGCTGTAATGCACATGCCTGCTTCAAATATGAGACGTTTCCTTCAGTGCACAATTTTAGCATGACTAATACCAGGCAATATGGGCATGTGTGTATGCTTATTCAATTCAATATAGTATTCACAAATGTACTGCCACTGCAAGCTAACGTGAGTAGGAGGTTTTGTCTCGAAAAAGTCAAATATTTTTACTGCAGAGAGTCATTGCAAAGAGACTTGTATGGACTGGCTAATCAAAGGAAGCCTAGAAAAAAAAGAAAAAAGAAGACAACAGGGCTAGGCCCAGAAAGCAAATTTGGCTAATGGCTTACAAAGAGAAATGGCAAAGCAGCCAAACAAATGAATCGCACTCACGAGGCCTAGGAGGCGGCTTCTTCTTGGGTGTATGAACGACCTTAGGTCGAATAACAGTGGGTCGGCTTGGTGCAACACCATTCTTCCGCTCATTCTGTAACATGCAAATCGGCAGCATTCATTTTTCTTTTGGAACAGTGCTTATATGCATACCATTATCTTCTGCCAGTTGATAGGTTAAGAAGATTTCATCCATAACGAAAAATCCTGATGTGCTCACAAACAAAAATGATATGCCACTTAAATACTCGGCAAACAATGGGTGCCTTAGAGAAACATTCCCAAAATCGCCAAGGGTCGCCTATCATCCCAATACGAAGCTCGAAGACATGTTAGTGCATCCAAAGTATATCTTCAGTATAATGCATATGCTTGCTTTTAGCCTTGCAGCAGAACTTGTTGACACTTCAAAAATGACATTTTTCTATAAAACCAAAACTGTGCAAGTGATTAAGTGAATTAAATTATTAAGAACAAGAGATGTCAATCAAAAGGCAATATTTACAGACACGGGTATGCCCGATTTTTACCCATCATTTCAGAACCTAGAATCATAATAGAAGTGAATCAGCATAAGGTAATTATAAAATAGGTTATGCAAAGCTATGCGGCAGGGTTTACTGCCAAGACACGTGCGTGATATGTACGCTATCCTCTAGTGTACCCATGTGAGGTGGCGTAGTGTGCATATGCAACGACCGCTATCTTTGCGTACCCTATTCTAAAACTGCCTGCCTAGTGTATGCGAAAGCATAAATTATGTAGCATTTAGTGCAGTAATAAAAAAAAAAAGTCAGGAAATTTGGAATTTAGCATCTGAATAGCTGCTTCGTCAGCATACTCATCCACTTCTTACAACCGGACGAAAAGCATTTAATTCGATTTAGACGCGTCTGAATGCAATGTTAGGTTATGTGGAATCAGCTTCAAACATCACAAACTGCACTTGGAAAAAACAGCAACAGTTGCAAATCAGAACTTACTCTAAAGAAATGCCACACTTGGGCGGGTTTACTAAACCTCTTTCTACACGGTCAAGGCCAAGCAATGACAAATTCATGCGAAAACTGTACTGTAGGCGCTTACCTTGTTGTTGTTGCTATCTCTTTGAGCTAGCGACGGCGCTTGAGCTTGTGCACTGAAACGAATGTGCAACGGAAGTGTATAAGCTAGTAGCAAGGCATTTCGAAGAGTGGGTTCAGGTGACAGCATGGACGAAAGCGGAGTGTTTTCCGGAGCCCACGTACACTGTATTTTCAAACTCGGCCGTCTTACCTAGCCTTCGGCACTGGTGGTGGAGGCGCAGGGCGGAGCGGTTTTGTGGCCATAGGCGCACATAAGGTCGGAGCTGCGACCAGGAAAAATGAAGAGAGATGACGCACAGATTGCTTGTTAACAAGCGCTCATGAGTAAGGCATCGCTATTCACAGTGTTCCGAGTCTGGCGCTTATCTCGGAAGCAGGCTGATTGACGTCGATAAGCAAAGCGAAACGGAAACGAAAGCCAATTTAATTGCGCGGACTGTGCTCCGGACGTGATAGCCGAGATTCAACTTGCTCGCACAGTTGGTAGCAGACTTCAACGCGTTGCATCGATGAAACCATTCAAAAAAAAAAAATACGGTTCTGTGCGCTTGAAACCAGCGAAGTGACACACTCCATCTACGCGACCTGAAGTAGACAACACCTGTCGGGTTGCACGGGGTGACATCCGCAACCAAGGCCCCAAATGTCGGCGGAATGAGGTCAGAAAAGGGCACAAAGCCAACCGAACTTTCAAGCACGAGCGTATAATGAGTCAGTGAAACCACGTTTTGATGATTTGCGTGGTCGACTCCCTCGGTTCACAGCAACTAAACAGATGCCCCTGGTCAGCAGGGTATACACCGAGCGGCGACATGGTACGGTACACTCTTTTGAACTCACCTGATAAAGTTCTGTATACAACGAGTCGAACAGCGAAGTAAACACGCCTAACAATCACTAACGCAAGTTAGCAATTGACGACTCTTTGAGTTTCAGGCTGCTCCATTAACGGCCAGAAACTCACACACCTACGCCATTAGTACGATGGTTGCGCCGCCTGTCCATGATAATCGGACAAGACATTTTTGCAAAAATAATCGTAAGCCAGTAACAAAAATAGCATTTTATAATCTTTCGCAATATAATATTGATCAAAAATTTGTATAGTTTCTACACTTTTTGTGTACAATAGCGACGACATTAGTTTTTAAAAGGCCTACTAAGAGAACTTTTGAAACTTTCAAATTGATGCTCTAAATTAAAAAAAAAAAACTTATGCTAAAACACCTGGAATCAGAATTGTTGCAAATAATAATACATCACTTAGTGTTTTATAGTTGGTAAATTGTAAACAAATATTACTTTCGGTTTCAATATTGAAAAAGTCGTTATTCAATGACTTCAGGCACTATAGTGACGTGTCATAGCAGTCTGACGTCACGTGAAGACAATACCCATAACAATATCCCGATCACAAAGTCCTAGAGGAAATTATGTCATCTGCACATGGAGGTCTTTAAGAATGATGAGTGAATTATAAACCAGTGATTTCTGATATTTAGGCTTCATTCATGACGCAGAGGTCGAAAAATTGAGGTAGGGCTTACCCATGAGCGCGAAAATGCACATGACAGCAACGAGGGCCGAAACAGGACGTTCGCGCGAACGTGGAAAAGCGAGCAACGGAAAAAAAAGATGGTAGGTGTGACCTAAAGAGACAAGAAGAGAGCAGAGTGGATTAGGGAACAAACGGGGGTTGAGGATATCATAGCTGAAATCAAGAAGAAAGGACATGGGCCGGGCATGTAGCGCGTAGACAGGATAACCGCTGGTCATTAAGGGTAACTAACTGGATTCCCAGAGAAGGCAAGCGGTTTAGGGGGAGACAGAAGGTTAGGTGGACAGATGAGATTAAGAAGTTTGCGGGTATAAATTGGCAGCAGCAAGCACAGGACCGAGTTGACTGGCGGAACACGGGAAAGGCCTTTGTCATGAAGTGGACGTAGTCTGGCTGCTGATTATGATGATGAAATACATGCTGCAGTTTTACAGGGGACCGTCACCGCAGACTGAAAGTTATAAGGCAAAAACCTTAAATGACTTATTAAACGCAACTGTCTCTCAGCGTCGGTGGCGTCAAAAAAATTATAGATATATGACACCACAATACAACGTCAACATGACGTCACAGAATGAAAACTGTTTAGACGTTATCACGAAGTGATCGTGACGTCACATATTATTATGCCACGTGATGACTTGATCATGTGATATCGTTGTTTTGACAAAAGGAGGTTGATCACGACTGTGCAAAATTTGTAACAGCATCGTCTTCCAAAAGGCGGCTCGTGGGCAATGAACCGCGTCCCGAAATAAATTCAGGCACGAGCGTGAAAAGGCCTGGACAACCTGTGCTGCGCTCTATCCTTTTTTTCTTTAATGCGAAGCATTTCTTAGCGAACTTCGGCGACCTTGAGCGTATCTATCTATCTATCTATCTATCTATCTATCTATCTATCTATCTATCTATCTATCTATCTATCTATCTATCTATCTATCTATCTATCTATCTATCTATCTATCTATCTATCTATCTATCTATCTATCTATCTATCTATCTATCTATCTATCTATCTAGCCGCCTACATCTGGGTTCTCTCCTGTTCACCTCCTCGAGCACACCGGGCACAGAGAGTTTTCGCTTCCATCGAAAACTCTCTGTGCCCGTGTGCTCAGATTTGAGTGCAGGTTAAAGAACTTCAGATGGTCGCTATATCCGGAGCCCTCCCCTATGGCGTCTCTCATAATCATATGGCGGTTTTAAGATGGTAAACCCCAAATATCAATAAACCAATCCTCGACTTGTTGTAGACCAAAATGGCATGGAAAGGTGAGAGGGTTAGACGAATATGATTGTCTGGTCACGACATGAATAACGAGAAAATTCCGTCGCGTACGTCCTCCAATCCATCGCGTAGGCCCCCAAGACCGTTGTTGTGTGCCGCATGCAGTGCATGGTATCGCGGTAGAAAGATGGCAACGTATCGTCCGGTCGCTTCCCAAAAGATACAGATGACGTGCGACGGAGAACGGCGTTGATTAGAATACAGTGGAAAGAAGGTGACGGAGACTATGCTGGTTTGTTCTAATCCATTTACTCTCGATGACTTCAATATCCCAGGTGAGTACACTATTTAGCCTCTGTGCATTATTGTCAATAATCGGGTTTTCTACGCGAAAAATTTAGTTTTGGTTATATATATTGTTATGTTTGAAAGAGACCGGTGGATGTTTAAAGGGACCGTTTATTGGGTCGCGAGGGGCAGCTCAGAAGCGGCCAACCGGTTAGAGTTCCTCCTGGTCCTCTTCTTCCTTTCTCGCTTTGGGCGACAAGTGCGTTCACCGTATACGCTTCGTTGTCTTCGTGCATGTGCGCAACATTCCTCTCCGCGCAGACGAAGGCCGCCGGACGAGTCAGTCGAGTTGTCGTGGCGGGTACAGTTTCAGGCGGGCAACATGAACCACTTGAGTTTTGGCAGCTCGTCGACCACTCACCGTGAGACGAGCTATTACTTAGTTGACCTCTGTAAGTCTGTCGACAATTACAAAAGGTCCATCGTAAGTGGCCAGAAACCTTTGGCATAACCCGCGGTGGCGCATCGGAGTCCACAACCACACCAAATCACCACGGCGATAAGTCACTGGTCGATGGTGAATGTGATAGCGTGCTTTCACTTTGTCTTGCGATGCCAATGTGCGTAGTCGAGTTAAGCAACGCGCCTTTTCAGCGAGGCAGAGAGTCTCCGCGACAGTGACGTTGTCGTGACCACAGAAAGGTAAAATTGTGTCGATGGTGTGCCGGGGAGAACGTGCATAAAGCAAAAAGAAGGGGCTATAACCTGTAATCTCATGCTCCGCGGTGTTGAATGCGTACGTAATGAACGGGAGTACGTCATCCCAGTTCTTGTGGTTGGATGATACATACATAGACAACATGTTGATAATGGTGCGGTCGGTACGCTCCGTCAGCCCATTAGTTTGGGGGTGGTATGGGGTCGAGTGACGCAGGCGGGATTCATACAAACGAAATAGCTCCTCCACGACATCCACTGTGAATTGTCGTCCACGATCACTGATAATCAGGCGACGTGGGCTGTGTCGGAGTATGACGTGTTGTAGCAAAAATGACGAGACGTCACTGGCAGTTGTGGAGGGGCGGCCACCGTCTCACAGTAACGTGTGTGGTAGTCGACGCAAACACTTATCCATCGGTTGCCCTTAGCCGATCTTGGAAATGGGCCCAGAAAGTCAATCCCCACTTGTTCGAAAGGTGCGCTTGGAGTTGGCATCGGCTGTAGAAGACCAGCTGGACCAGTTGATGGACGTTTGTGGCGCTGACATTGCATGCAGCTTGCCACATAACTCTCAATGGACTTCTGCATATCAGGCCAATAAAAGCGCTCTTTATTCCGGTGAAGCGTCCGCGCCAAACCTAAATGTCCAGATGTAGGGCCGTCGTGCATGACACTCATAATAACTGTTCGCAGGCTCTCCGGGACCACTAAAAGGAAACGCGTACGTGCCACTGCTGGAGAGGTGTCACACAGGTCCCGTTAATTAGGGAGGCGATCGCCGGGCTAATTCCAAGAGCCGAAGTATCGGCCCCCCGAACCGCACCACGAAAGCGTGGACAATTTAGAAGTGGTCCTTTTTGGCGCGCCAGCGGACGCCGGCTGTGGCCCAAAGAAGAAGTCAGAGCCGAGAGTTGATAAACAAACAAAACTATATTTTCAATAATGGCAGATCAAAAAAACAATACACAAATATGCTCACTCCACAATAGCTGAGTACAATATGCCACTGATCAAACAACGTACTACACAGTACAATTAGCCACACTCGAACAACGGACACAGACAACAGTACACACTACAATGCAGTCGCATGCATTGAACAACCAAGACACTTAAAGACTAAAGAGATAGAAAACCTATTCAGTCCAAAGTCCTTGGAACAAAAGTCTGAATGATACTGTTCCGAGAATCACTCACTCCAGTCCAGCGTTATTGTCGTTCCGCAGCCCTCCAAGTTTCTCCTCCAGGAAACCTCGCCGAAGTTTCTCCTCCAGGAAACCTCCCGTCTTCAATAGGCCACTCCCCAAGCTTCAAACTTCCTCGCCGGAACACGTCGGCTTCACACACGCAGCTGTTGCCACGCGTCTTCGCTCGATAGCAATAAACACACACTCGTGCCTGTAGCTCGAGTCATCACCCCTCAGGTGGAAATCCTCTTCATCTCCTGCTTTGTCTCTACGGACGAAACCTTCGCCGACTACACGGCGGTATACCCTACGTGCTCTGGCGCTACTTCCGTCTTCTCCTGATCTCTCATCTCGGCTGCTCGGTTAAATACCTTGCGCGCGACATTCCAGACGGTTTTCGTCATTTCGTCGGCGCGATACGCAGCGAAGGCTGGGAAGAGGGCGAGACGGTTGGAATGCCCTCCGCGGCCGATGACTCAACTCGGTATGACCACGCCCCTTTCGTTCTAGAACTTTCGCGGGCTATCTCGGTCGCCGATGTGGGGTGAGGAGGTTCGTCGGCGAAGCCACGCTTCCAAGGGGAGAGCGCGCGCCCGGGGAGCCTTGGATGTTTATTTTCTTTTTTTTTCTTTTGACCTCCCGGCGTCTCTTCCGCGCGTTACCGCAAGAATTTGGCGGCGCGCCCATTTTTAGCGCTCGTTCTGTGACACTGCCCCCCACTTTAGGAATATTATCTCATAATATTCAGAACCACACAAACGAGCGCGAACGGTCCCCACACACTCAAAGACTGTAACATAGTCCGTCGCTCATGACACGTCACATTCGCAATAGTTCACTCAATACAATTGTACATTGTAATTCAATTACACAACACATGAAATATAACCACAGGCGCATGAGTACAACACTCCACCACACATTCCCAATAATACAAATGTACAAAGTTCTCTCTTTACAACAATTATACAACACTATACATCACATCATCGCACAGAACACTTTGACT